GTGGCGCTGTAGCTCAAGTGGTAGAGTGCTAGCCTTGAGCTGAAGAGCTGAGGGACAGCGCCCAGGCCCAGAGTTCAGGCCCCACGACCAGACCCCCCCCCAAAAAAATAAGGGTTTATTCCTTAGGGTATTTACCCAGTTGCTACTTAGTTCTACTTCATGTTCAGAGAATACCAAGTATGAGATTATCCCAATTCCTAGGTCCATGATTCTCCATCACTTTTACTACATTTATATACACATAAACACAATGTAAATGTTGATGAGGGGTGGAAAAAGAATTTACAAAGAGAAAATCATTTGATAATTACAAAACCAAAGTGTTTATTAAACATTAGAAACATAAATCAATAACGTTCTTTTCTTTTTATCTTTCCTTTCCTTTTCATTCTTTGCCTTAGAATCTTTTGAATTACATTTTCAAGAACAGAAAACAAAATGCCCTCTAGCTTGGCTGGGCACTGGTGGCTCATGCTTATAAGCCTATCTTCTCAGGAGGCTGAGTTCTGAGATCATGGTTTGGAGCTAGACTGGCTGTCTCCTTGAGACACTTATCTGCAATTACCAACAAAAAGTCAGAAATGTGGCAGTGGTTCAAGTGATAGAATGCCAGCCTTGAGCTAAAAAGCCCAGTGAGAAGTCCAGAAACTTACGAGGTTAGACTGAAATTCACCAAAATTCTCTTCAGGTCTAAAACCAAGCCAAGGAGGCATCATGAGAGTGAGAACTGGTGCTACACTCAGCTGAGGTGCCGGCTCCTCTGGTGCAAGCCAATGTCTGTGGAAGGGCCTGTTGGCCTGTGCTCAAACCCCGTGTAGTAACTATACCGTGGCAACAATTAGATGATAGACTCTACAACACACTAAGTGCTCAACAAACACGCAGATAACTTTTAGGATAGCAGGACTACTAGGCACTTAATGCATTTGTACCTTCTATCCCATGCTCTTGGTGAAGGCTGAGCCATTTCACGGAGGAATCTCCTTGCTCTTCTCCTGTGGCCCTCCATGTGGGCTCCTGTGACATAAGAACCTCACCTGGTTGTTTGTTTTTATTGGTGTCAGTCCTGGGGCCTCAACTCAGGGCCTGGACACTGTCCCTGAGCTTTTTTTTTTTTTTTTTTTCCCTCAAGGCTAGCACTCTACTACTTGACCCACAGCTCTACCTCTGGCTCTTTGATAATTCATCAGAGATAAAGAGTCTCATGGACTTTCCTGCCCAGGCTGGCTTCAAACTGGGATTCTCAGATTTGTCTCCTGAGTTGGTAGGATTACAGGCATGAGCCACCAGCGCCTGGCTGGTGGGTTCATTTTATAATGCCATATTCTATTAAAAGTACATGGATAGCACTAGGAAGCTTGCTTAGCACATGTGAAGCTCTGGTTCAATCCCCAACACCATATCAAAATATTGCTTTGAAATTTATTTTTATTACAAGAACGGATCAAAAGTGACTGAGAACATTCTAGAGAGGTTTCAGTGGGACAACATCACACCCCGTCCCATGACACCTGCATGTTCCCTCCTAACTCCAAGGGGTGTCTGCCTGTGCCAGGCCCAGGCTCTTCAGGGGAGTCCAGGGAGAACAATGGGGTAGACACCATGTGGAGTGACCCCACAGCACATGGTCTTCAGCATTCTCGGGGTTTCCCTTCACGCCTCTTATCCCTTCACACTCAAAGGGAAAGTGCAATTCTTCTGCCTGTAACTGCTTGACAGAGACTTTCCCTCTTCTGTGCACCATTTAACTTACACCTATTATACTTCAAGAACCATACATCTGGGCTGGTAAAATGGCTCAAGTGGTAGGGACCTGCCTAGCCAGTGTGAGGTGCTGAGTTTAAACTCTAGTACTACCATAAAAAAAATTCACACATTCATCAGTGTTTAAAAGGAAATGTTCTCCTCTTTTATGGGGGTCTACGAAGGGAAAAAAAGAGCTAATAATGCCATAGGTATTGACTCAGCTTTGTACTGGCAGGGCAGTGGTGGTACTATGAATGAATTTCTGAAGATGCCACAGGAAAACGCAGTGGATCAGAAGCAAAAGTTGAGCTGGAATTTGTCTAATGAGTTCTTAAGCTCAATTCTGGCTTGAAACTAGCAAGGTAAAACAGATAAAACTAGGACAGAGTAAAAAAGTGTCAGAATGCACCAAAGTAAGAACTTGAGAAGCCCGTTTCAGCTGGACGTCTTCACGTATGCAAGTAGGTAACGCATTCAGATGCATGAGATGGGAAATGCGCCCTTGCCTGGGAGCCAGAGTCAAGACCACTAGTGTCCTGGGCTAACCACACAGTGCTAGAGAATCAAATGATAGTATCTGCTACCAGTACAAGCAGTGCCAATAACTTCTTAAGTCATTTATTTATTCATTTGAGAAGATGAGAGAGTGAGGGACAAGCCGGGAGGTTCCGATGGGAAAATGCCACAGCTAAGGCAGGAGCCAGGTGAGGCAGGGGTGGAGCTCCTGCTCTAGAGTCATGGACGACGACATCCCAGAAGCAAGGAGGGCTGACTGGGTAGGGCTGTGGGCCATGGGGGAACATGTGCAATGCAGAGAACAGGAGATTCTAAGCAGAGGATGACAAAGCCTGAGTTATGTGTAACTATGAACATAGCAGTCCTATGTTGTGGACAACAGACACAGATGAGGGAGCAAGGTAAAACTAGGAGGAGCCTACTGCCATGAGCCGGCAGGCCGGGACCAGGTGGGCACAGCACAGGGAAAGCAAGATTTCTAACAGAGTGACTAGAGGAGTCAAGGGATGATCTTCTTTTTTTAAAACTCTGTGCAGTCCTGGGGCTGGAACTCAGGGCCTGGGTGCTATCCTTGAGGCTAGCACCCTACCACTTGATCCAGGGCTCCACTTCCAGCTTTCTGGTGATTAGTTAGAGATAAGAGGCTCATGGACTTTCCTATCCCAGGCCGACTTTAAAGTGATCCTTAGATCTCAGCCTCCAGAGTAGTCAGGATTACAGGCATGAGCTATGTGTTTGTTAGTATACCTTTATGGACATCCTCAACTCCCTTTCTTGCACTTTCTAGAATCATTCCCCAGCTAAACATCCATATATAGAGAAAATAAAACCCCTTAACTTTAAGACTCAGTCTATATTGGGTTGTCCACATCCCTGGCCACAAAGCATAGCATGACAGTTCACATACCATATGTACTCTACTGCAGAAAGCAACATTGTGCTCACATTTCATTGTTTACAAATTCCTCTATCCTTCCTTGATGGTCCCTATGTTGGATTTCAGTAAGGGCTTCCAATGATCTTGGAGCACAGGCTTCTATCTTTTTGAACAAAAATGTGGAAATTAGTTGTACAAGTTTCTGACAAAGGAACAATTTGTGACAGTGCACAGTAACCTTACATTTGTTGTCTATTCTATTAAACATTAATTGCGTACTTATAAAAAGCTACTATTTGCATGCTCACTCTGCTGCATACATAAGAGTAAACACCACTCCTATACTAACTCAATATTACAATCCTGGAGGTAGGTATTATTATTGTCTCCATTTTACTTATTTGTGTGTGCTAGTACAAGGGCTTGAATTCACATTCTTGTTCATCTCCCTACCCCACAAGGCTGTGCTCTACCACTTAACCCACACCTCCAGTTCTGGCCTTTTGCTGGTTAACTGGAGAGAAGAGTTTAAAGGATTTGTCTGCTGGGGCTGGCTTCAAACCCTGATCTTCACATCTCGGGCTTCCTGAGTAGCTAGGATGACAGATGAGTCACCCATTGGGCTTATCCCCATTTTATAGACAAGGAAACCAAAGCACGCAGGGTTGAGCAACTTGCCCAAGGCCGTTCAGATAAAGCAGAAGATCAGGCCGAAGCTCTGCTCTTGACCTTGCCTTCATACTGCCTCTAGTTACCTCTAAATTCTCATGTGAGCTAGATATGTCAGGCCAGTCATTTGCCTGTGAGGGCCTGACAGATGGCGAGTGGAATTGTGAGTCTTAGCATAGAACCCAGGCGCCTCTTAATCATTGCATGCTGATGGTCTGGTCTGGTCTGGGCATCCCACCACCTTATGGAGCTAGAATGGGTAGCGGAGAGCTAGACACAGAGATGCCAACCTGACCAACACGGCCTGTCTCCTGGAGCTTGGAATCGCACCTGTGGACAGGACAAGGTCATCTGTTGGGGCAGTCCAGTATGCAGGCATCAAGCAGACAGCTATCTGCAGAGGTCTTGATGCAGTGCAGGTGATGGTCATGCAGGTGAGAAATCAAAAATGTAGGAAGGAAACAAGCAGGAAAGGTGGGAGGCACTTCTGGAACAAGAGCAGTATGTGCAACATACAAACAAGATAGGTGTTTTTGTCTGACTTGAACAAAGGATACACAGGAGGAGGAGGGTATGAGGCTCAAGGGGAAGTCACAAAGCACAGGGGTCTTGGGGGCTAAAATAAGGCCACTGAGGCATCATAAGAGAAACAGCGACCATCCGTTCTCCCCAGGACCTGAAAACTCTAAAGATAGGGAGAGAGGAGAGAGGGAGAAGAGGGTTGGGTGCTGCGGACCGCTCGTCCTCACTTACGTCTCTTGCTTTTATATTTTAGTTCTTTTATTATGCTGTAGAAACAATGGTCCCTTCCCAATCTAGCTGCAAAGAGATAGCATTTTGACTTTTTCTATTTTAACCATAGTTAAGTGTATCTTGTTTACTGATTCCAGCAACTTAACTGAAAACTATGAAATGCAGGGAAAAATAGCAACTGCTGAATGTCATGTGACGGTCCAGCTGACCACTGTGGCAGTTGAAATGGGGACTGAATCCTCAAAACTCCTGACTCC